CTATTGGGTAGAATCTGTATCAGATATTCTTCTTTCTCCAGAATAACCATATGACATGGGCGGCGGAGCAGGGGGAACAGGGGGGTGAGAGAGGGAGGGTGGCTCCGCCTTTCCCAGCGAAAATTTGCCGGGGTCCACTACATATCAGTGCCGACGATATTAAAAGCGCAGGATAAAATAACTTTGGCAAAATATTCAGTCTTGTGATTTTTTCAAATCTCTTCATCAGGGTCGTGTTAGCGAAATTATTCAAATAGGGACTTTTTTACTTGAACAGCCCCGTTCTGTGTTCAAGAAGCGGACATTAGGGTACGTACTTGGCTTGGTAGGCGTGTTCACAGAGAAGCAAAGTACGTCTTGCGCTCGTGCTACGTACTTCCCATACACTGATAGCGCTCATACTGATTTCTTTAGCATAAAAAGATGAGGATGCTGTGAAAGTCCATGACGGGCGGGTTATCCTCAGGAATTTTGTCCAGCTTCTCTGAAAATTTGTTGGTACCCATTGATACTTTTGGGAAAAAACAACGCATGCGCAATGACACTGGGGAGGACTCAGACCAAGTCCTATCCATTGGCCGAAGCTAAACCTTAGAGAGAAAGAGAGGGAGGAGTGCGCCCCTGCGAACCAGTAGGGCACTGCATCTGGTACCTAGTCGTTTCGTACACAAATTCAGTCGATTCGTACCCTGCATCTCCCTCTACGAGAATTTTATACATTCATCCTTTGAATTTACTCATAAACATATCTGAGACGTCTTCTTTGTCTTTAAGAACCGCCCCCCCCCCACCCTCTCCACTTATACCCCTCCCTTTACAAGCTACTGGCTGGGGATGAAAGTACGATTTCCCCTACGACATCACATCAATTACAAAAAGGTAATTGTTATTCATTGCAAAATTTTCTATTCTGAAATTAACACCTGTCCAAAAGGGGTGTCGTACACTAAAATGGTAAAAATATTCCGTATTTCTCCTATACTGTAATTTTAAATAAAAACTAAAATTCATTTGACTATCTTTCTATACCAAATGGTTATCTCCTGAAAAACATATAAAAGTAACCATAACCCTTTTTATTATTATTATTATTTGAATCCATTTTTTTTTAAATTGTACAAGAGAACCCTTAAAACAATTGACAAATATGCATCCACGTAAATTATGTGGCATAAAGGATATGGTTACCCTTGGACGTTCAGTTCCAACATTAATTTGGTTCCAGAATATTGTGCACTCTACAATTGTGTTCTTAGGACAGGAACACACTCAGATACGGTCAATAGCCACGAGAGTAAATTTGTGGAGTTACTTTCGGGCGCAAAAAATAATGTTCGCTGATCACAGAAATATAACCGTGGAAAAACAGAAAGACGGACGTTATCACCTTCGACGGACGCCCTCGTGGAAGGTGATAACTAGATCAACAAATACTGTTGAGAAGTAGTAGAGATATACACCAACAAATGCAACCTACGTTAATTTGCGCATTTTCCTCCACGTGTTTAACTTGAGACGGAACTACACGTCATGTAAACTCCGTCATCCTCTACCTTTTGTCGGCCTTGCCTGTATCGAACCTTCCCATAATGACGCATCAAGGTTAGTGATGTTACCGAGATTAATAATTGACCCTTCAACTAACCTTCCAATGACTGCCATCATTCGCTCTAAAGGTGCCACAGTTTAAAATCCTCTGGTTCAGCTTAAAAAAAATTTTCCCTTTTTTTTCCTTTCAGTCACTGTTACATATGTGGTTCTGTTAGCCAAGTGTTAGCTCAACCGCAAGGGGATATCAATGATGAAATGTTCTGTTTTTGGTTGAGTCGACATAAGCCTCTTAAACTTGGTAGTTCCGGAATTTCAGGTTGAAGAACGAAAATAGGAAGTCTATTTTCGTCTTTTCAAAGGGGAAATATCAACTAACGATGAAAATTCTAAATGAAAGATAAGAGTTCACACTAAGCCAGAAGAAAAATGTTTAATTGGCATGGATTGGAAAGACTTGTAAACAGCTCTCTCCTTTTCTTTCACTTATTTCAGTTTCTACTCGAATACTTTACTGCTGAAAGGAAAGCTTTCTATCTAAATTGAGGAAGGTTCCTAAATTATTGGGAAATTGGTCAATCAAAATATGCAAAATAACTCCCTTTTGCGTTGACTTTCTTTGCCAAACCTTATCGGAACATGCGCATGACCAAGTCCTCTAGATCTAACATTCCAGGTTGCTTAACCACTGCAATAACTCCCACTTTACTGACCACAAACTGCGTTTTATATTTCCCCCTTTGATTCTAATCTGTTCCGCAGATTTTAATCTATGTTCTCAGTAAGTGGCTACCCATCACCGATAAATAAGTTATAGAAGCGCTTACAAAATGTCGAAATAGATATGTATTTTCGATATTATTTTATTATATGCCACAATAACAGTTTTTACACCCCTGTTGAACGTTAAGAAAACCTCCTCCCCCCTTTTCTTATACGGACATTTAATCCTCGATCCGGCTGCGTCAACAACGTAGGGAAGACAGGCAGTGACGTAGTATTTCGGCTCAAGTTCGATTCTCTAACCGGTAGAATTAATAACAATCATAATGATGGTAAATAATACCTCGAAAACAAGGGTCGCAGCGCACGTAGGGTAACACCATAATTACAAGAGAAAGGGTCAACTCATGAATTCGTGACGTCACAACTTCCCATAAGTCTTCCTGACATGGCATGACTGAGTTAGATGTGGTATCCACCCAGGTACATGCAAGCCGAGGTAAACAAAATCAATACTTTATTGCTTTTGGAAGTAAGTTAAAAATGACTCAAAACTGGGAAGTCCAATAAGAAACCCATAACACTCTTTCCCGCACGCTCCTCTACCGGTCCCTGTGATGAAAAGGCTTTACGAGGTCATAGGTTTGTATTGCTTAAAACCCTATATTTTCATTTCAAATTTCCTTTGACCCACCTACCCTGTCTACTTTGATTGTCTTGAAATTATTTAGCTTTCCTAGCCCCGTTGATATATCAAGTTGGCAGAGAAATAGGATCAGACCCTTCAACTGCTCCGTTGTGATACATTGTCATACATGTGCATCGATAGTAGAGTCTCTTGGTAAAAAACACAGCGGAATAGCTCCGTCCACGCGTGGTTCTCGAGTCTTGACTTCTCCGGATTCTGACTCAAGCACACCAACCTGGGTGATGTGAGTAGGACACCGGTATGTCATTTAATCAGTCAGGTGCAATTATCCCCAGGCGATCGATCCATAGATTAATTGCTGGATCAATAAATTGGTTAACCCTTTAACTCCCAAGATCTCATTAGTAATTCTTCTTACTGTCTCCCATAGAGTTCTTGTGATGTTAGTTTGGAGAATTTGGTATTAGGTCAACTTGTTGTCCCCTAGTTGATATTTATCTTTATTCTCATTACTTGTCTTCTTGAAATTGTGTGGATATTGTGGTTATTTAAATTTGATAACTTTAACTTTTAATCAAAAGGGTTAAAAGAATGATTGATCAAGCGAGACAATTGTCTAAGAACTTCTTTCTTTGATGACATCAAAGTACTTGAACACGCTGGCGGTACCAGTAACTCAACCATGAAAGGAAAACATGCACGAGGGCATTCGCACATAAATCACTGTGCAAATCATTCCTGATGCTTAGCACCCTCGTGCTCTAACCGCTTCAGATCTGGCTGACCCCCCTCACGTTATCGATAATGTGAACATGCCTTAAAGAGTAAAGATGGTCCTGTTGCCTTACTCCCTTTTAAGTTCAAGGTTTCTTTCATTCGACACCACCCAATTTTAACGACACATGGCAAACTCACCAATGAAGTCGTTTTATCCCTGGGTGCAAAGACTCACCCCTTACATTTCAACCAAAAATATTCAAAGAAAAAGTGGTTAAGGACAAAATCCTAGGAGAAGTAATAGTCCAACGCACCACAGTTGAGCAAACGTACGCAGAACTAACACGCCACACAAAACAAGATTTATAAGAGACTGGTATATTTATAGCAGTTAGGGTTCGTATTCAACACAGAACCAACAAAGACGGGACAACTAATCAAATAAGATTAATTATTTTGTCCATAATCATGTAAAATAAAAGACAGAGAGCTACTCGTACAGCACTGTCGTACAAAGCTTGCCGCGCTAAAGTACAGAGACTGTGACCTGTTCAGACGTACAGGCCCTCGAGGCTCTGAGGAGGTAAAGCCAAGTTCTGACCCTTAATTGAAACAAAGTGGATTCCACTCATACAAGGAAGGATCGCCTCAGTCATTAATTTGAAGCCTGATTTACCGAAACGAGTTGACCGCCGTAACTTAGCGCAACATTCCGATCTGAAAAGTAAAGATAAAACTTTGATATTGCGGAGTACTTATGCCGAAGCAAGTTTCCAGGAATAACACCTGAAGTTGCCTGTGGATTCACAATCATGGCTCTACCTCGTTCCAGAAAGCGCATTAAGTTAACTTTCATACATTCAGTCGGACAAATAACACTCGTTCTTGCCTTATCCAAAAAAATGGACGGACAAACCTTCACGGATCTTGTTGCTAGATCATTAAACTAGTACTCTAGCTACAAGTCAGGCAACAAAGAAATTATGGCTACGGGATTCCGCCCGAACTTGCTCTTATTTCCCTGACTGCCCTAAAACCAATCACAGACTAGCACACTACCCTACCCTCCTGTGCAGCCGCTCCTTTGGCTGTCATGCAGTCAACCCATCCAAATGAAAAGCGGGCTGCGTGACGAGTCAAAAATCTACGATTGCGCAACTGAAGCAGCTCTAATTACGCTTAACCCTAACTAATTGAGATCACTGGAATTTATACGCACAATAACAACGATACAATATAATAAATGTTAATTTCAATACAATTATATTTGCGACGGCGCCAAACATTTTCTTTTTGAGATAACAGGTTCCTTTTGACTGCTATTAAATTCGTCTTTTCTTCTTCTTGTCTCTTGACTAATCTGTATTTGCTCTAAATCAAACACAGAATCGCGCGACATAGTCGAAAAGGCTCGTATTTGTATTTTTTTTTCTTTCTTTCTTCCTACCAGAAGCAAGCACTGTTTGGTTTTATTGAATCGTCTATGCAAAAAGTCGTACAAAACTAAACTTTACTACAGTAGTTGAACCTTTAGCAATCGGATTGATTATCATTAATTTGTTATTCTTATTAATATCACTGAACCCTCAAGAGTGTAACAAAATAGAAAAGCTTCTAGCAGACAAAAAGTTCTGCGTAACTAATGAAAAGCACTTCGGCCGTTTAACTAGAATATACACTTATAGAAAACTGCATTAGAAATAAGCAGAACATGGGCTTTTTGAGGGAAGTTCACAAATTATTCAATTGTAAAATCGTATTTAATCTTCCTTTGCTTACTTTTGTGTACAACGTTGCAACTGATCTCCGTTATCTCTCTTACTGACTCACGTCCAATTACAAAACATACACATACCTACATTACAACAAGGGAAAAAACGAACCCAACCAAGTCCTCATTATTGTACTATAGGCTGGCGGGGAAGGGAAGGCTTTTATCAAAATCCGACCTTCCCCTGCCACCCCTCCTTCCTAGCATAATTAAAGAACATCTAAGTTGTGGTCTCGTACTGAATAAATAGGTACAGTTTAAGACCAGGAAAGAGGGGTTATCACATATCGGCATTATCAAGTTCTAAATGTCTCTAGTTTGCCTTACTAACACCATGGTTGCCGGTCAAGTGGGAGGTCGTGATAACTTGCTTATAACACGGATTAAGGCACCGTTCTCGTCTTTCAGCCTTTGGTTGTCCGCTTTCAGGTCCGCTAGTTGCTATCGGAAATAAGGTCAAGTGATTAGCCACGAAAGCTGTCAAAAATCTGCCACTGCAGCGGACAAAAGTAAATTGGCTGCGCATAAAGGGGTAGGGGAAGAGAGGGGAGAGGTTAATGGAAGACACCTCAGTAAATTGTGTGGTCAGCCATGAGGAATTTTTTTACACCTGGATGTGGTCATGGCATTCGCTCACGGTAACACTACCTCAGGTCTAAAAAAATCTTCTGGTTAAGTCGCGACACGGTGGAAGCTTTTACAACATTATTATCTTTTCACGCCTTCTCTGCATACATACACCACACTGTTGGATAATGTTGGACATGTCACACCGATTTTTCAGACAAAAAGCAACAACTAAAATGAAAGCTACCACGATACAGAAAGATAACAACAGGCTAACATGAAGATACTACAAGACACACTTACCTTTAAGTCGTCCTCTACGTTTGAGTATTTTCTTTCAAGTTCCTCTTTTGCCTGCAAAAAAATGCCAACGATTAGACATGGTTTGCTTGTACACTTTCCTGTTACATGGTTCAAACTCAAAACAATTCAATACTATAACCTACTTGTAAGGCCTTTTCTAGTTTAACTTTGTATTCTTGAATTTCCAACTGTGCTACTTGTAATCTTTCCTTTAGCTTCTGAGGATCTGTTTCTGCTATGATGGTGTTGGCCTGATGGAGAAAAATACCAAAAATTGTATAGATATTTCTTAGTAATTGATTCTTTTACAGCTATGGCACTGGTAATAGGTATTTCGTTTAGAAGTCGGCACAAAAATAACTGAAAGGTTCTAACCTTGGAGGTCCCAAAGGGTCCTTTCGAATCAATGGTTCTACAAAAAGGAAAAGATGAGAAGTGTAATGAGTGAAAGCAGTTTACAAGCAGCAGGCTTCGGATACGCCTGTAATTGCATGAAAACTACGATTCAACCTTTCAGACAGCGCTGCACACGAACTACTACCCAATAAAAGACAAACTAGAATCGTACCTGCCAACTCTTATTCTATCCGTAGTGCTCTGTGAAAGGAGGAAACATGAGATGAGAATTGTTATTTTTATGAAGAGCCAATCGGCCGTGGCAATTTTGTCATCAAGTCCTGCTTCCGCTAATAACGGTTAGGAAGTGTGGTTAAACTTTACCCTGTGCCAGCTGTATACTTCTGTGCCACGCCCAACACATACCTTATACTCGTCGTGTCTGGTTTCTTGTGATCGTCTCCTGCTGGCCAAGGAGGCTTTCTCGTCATTTTCCTCATTTAGCTTTGTGTTCTTTTTTGGGTCTTTGGCCTCTTCAGTTTCTTCCTCGTCGCTCTGGAAAAACGACCGAGCGAAATGGTTAGGAGTTACAGTTTACAAGAAGGCTGCTAAGTCTAAAGAAACGTAATTGTTTCGTATAAAAGCTGAACACCTTCCATTTACCCACGTGCTATACGATTCCTCTAACTCGATCTGAGAATTACTGATAGGAAGCAAAAACCTCGTTGAAATAGTTGAAATAAAGCTAAAATAATTTGACTATGATGCTTTTCCAATAGATCTTACGGGTTGGGAAAAGACGACAATGGCTAGCTAAGGTGGCGTCCTATTCCAAAGTATGCTAAAAATACCCACCCCTACGCGGCGTTTATCTCCACTTATCCCTTCGCTCTGACAAAGGGCTAACACTTGAAAAGTCAGCTTTTTTTACTCTTTACGGTGGCCAATTTACGTTTTCAACTCAGTTGTTAACACTAAATAACCTGCTATACTCTCCCACCGACGCAACACCACAGTCTCTTTAGAAACTTACCCCCTTAATTCGTTTATCTCTTTGCCTCCTGGCCCTTCTTTTTTGCGCCGCAGCCGATGCAGAGGAGTCATCGTCCTCCTTTTCCTTCTCTTCCTTCTCTTTTTCTTTGTCTTTTTCCCTGTCTTGCCTGGGGCGGCGATAACTTGGCATTTCAGTCTCGTTCTCCTTCTCCTTTTGTCGTTCCCTTTCCTTTTGTCGTTCTCTCTCCCTCTCTTGTTCTTTCTCCTTCTCCTTTTCTCGTTCCCTCTCTCGTTCCTTTTGTCGTCTCTTCCAATCCGGTATCTTAGCTTCTTCGTTCTTGTCCTCAACTGTTTCACTGGGTCTGCTCCGCCGGCTCAGGTACGTGTCAGCAGTTGAGGCTAGTCTCGTCGACTTCGTCTCTTCCTTAGAGTTCCGCCGCACAGACGTGTCCTACGACATGCAAAAACTAACAATGACAATGCTCTCTGGTAAAAAGTTTGGAAAAAAAAAAAAAAAACCAAAAGAATCTTGATATCTCGATGAAGTTACAAATACTAAGGCAGGTGGTCAGAAACCAGAACTCAGGCCCAATGCTCGCCTGTACAGATAAGGAAGAGTATGGGTCAAACACATGAAGATTTCTTGACTACGACTGTTATTAGAGCAGCCACAAAACCCTTCTAACCGAAGTTTGCTATTCACCTGGTGATTCAAAATAGTTGCTATTTAAGAACGCAGTTGTGAGTTACTACCCCTTACTTCTCTTCAAACAAAGTCTATATATCCTTGCCTCTCCCTTCCCCGTCTGGAAAAAAAAGTTAAAAACATTTTCGCGCGCGTGTAAAATACTGCAATAAGTTCAAGGTAAAGACTAATGCCCTCACCGTGCTAAAAAAGTATGCTGACACTTGTAGATACTTAATGAAAAAGCACGACACAGTTCGTTAACATGTACGGCACATTTAACGCAAAATTTGGACCAACATGGCTATTCTTACTCTAGAGACGTATGAAGAAAACATCGTACCAAACAAATATGATAAAAGAAAAAACAAGGAAAGTCTTGCAACAAGGGTTTGTATAAAATTAACATTAATCATAGCGATGGTTGGAGCAGTGGAGTAAAACTGTTACATGAAGAATGTTTACTCTAGCCTTAATTCTGCAAGATATCATGAACCTTCAACAAAACTAAGTTAGAGGGAGTAAGTTTCACTGAAGGTCAAAGCGTAACAAAATCAAGTGGCGTCTGGACCAATTAGCAACATTCAGTTGACCACTAATTGAATATACCGCCAGTAGGTAAATAACGACAACTCCAAAAAAACAGGCTTTGGGACTAGAGCTTTGCCCCTAATGTACATATTTCAGAGGTTAAAACGCCCCCGGACGTCCAGCTCTGAGCTAGCGTTAAATTACCTGAACATGCTGATGAAAATCAGTAGGACAGCGAGGGTAGAATGTAGAAGGTAATTCAGCTGTTCTGAAATGGCCAGCAAATTAAACTTGTTCACTCACATTAAAATACGCTAACTGTAAAAGGAGGTACGCTTCATCGATTGTTTACCACCGAATCGCATCTGACTTATTGTAACTTCTGCTTTCCAAAAACAGAAGTAAATAATACCAGTATGAAGTTTACATTCCCTACGCGACTTGACATATTTGCCCTGCAGACAAGAACGTCAGATATTCGCCCTCACAATAGTTACGTCCAACATCTGGTCTTAAAAAGAATTACCCACCGCAAATCAATGAATTTCTACGGCCCTGCAGTCATCATTCGAAGACCTGACTTTAAAAACCGCGATTGGGCTCTCGCTCAAAACACCGAATATGTTTGTTAAGCTCTGACAGACGGGAGAGGTTCATTGTATGCAAAATGGGTGTGAATGAAATGCTAGAGATAACTTAACACAAAGCTAATTAACCACTTTAGAGCCGATTATTTACCCCTATCAGAGGCCCTATCTGGATAAATAATTTCTGACCTGTAACAAAAAATGCTGGCGGCTCGTATCTGAAGATATTAACAAAATAGCAATTTCATTTAGAGCCAATTTCTATCATCTTGAATAATAATGCACGCAAGAGCTTAGGAAATGCAACAGAATGCAATCTTAGACTATTAACGCCTCACCGAGAGGTACAGATGTTAAGATATTTGCTTGAATTAAAATAAAGAACCCGCAGGATATTAAACTTTCTGTTTCTCTATAGGCTATACACTTTATCCACGCTAGTGCCATCGGCGAATAAATACAATGTGTTGTTGATAATGGAGAAAAGAACTTTTGTAGTCAGCGCCGCGGCGAACATGAAATATGTCGGTCAATAGAAATTAATTCAGCTTGACTCTATCGCAATGAACACGTTGATGAAATTACTCTTCTCATTCTGCAGAGATTACTCCTGAACACTTCATTCCGTCCGCAAGAAAAAGAGTGCTTTTCACTACAGGATGGTGAACAGATGATTAAACTAGGCCTAACCAGATCGATAACAAATTCGGAATGCAAAATATCGACTGTTGACAAACAAGTACAATGAACGCAATTTTTTCCGATCAAGCGATGGTCGCTCAGGTCGGATTAACAGCCTAAGAACCAACCAAACAATAATTTCACTTCATAATCCCAACTAAAATACGACCGCTTTGAACCTTGGAGAATGCGTTACCTGAGTTCTTGACGTATAATTCTTTTGACTCCCATAGCTTGGTTGATCGAACCGACGAGTTAGGTACGACATGAGCGGAACTTCGTGATCACCCCTGGATCGCACAAACAACACTCTAGCGGGACAACTTCCAGCTCAGGCTGTGAAGCCACTAGTCTCCACAGTACACTACGCTGAACAACTATAAGTCTGGCTCAAATTTCAGTTTCGCCATTTTTATTTCAATTGTTTTAAGCTCGACCAGAGAGGCTCCTATGAATAATTAATAACTAGCCGGACTAATTAAAAGAGCAAACCTCCCCCACGCATTTGGCAAAGAACCCTTTGACAACCAGCATATAACGAGCCTCTTCGTGGCATTCTGTCAACACAACCAACAAGTAAATCCCTATGTTATCTCAAGTTGTTGCAACGATGCATACCTGCATGATCTACAGTAATTCAGCGCGTCGGCATGTTTACTCTGGTGTGGAATTTATGACAATACTGCTTGATTAAGTTGGCACGCCATTCGGTGAGGGTGCAGGCAATTCAACACCTTGCAAATTAGTCTGTTTCTAATCCCCGTCTATTCTTACACCTTTTGTCATAATGGTTTTTTATTCCTTCAAATTTTCATTCGTATTTAGCCAACAGAACAAATATTTAGACAACAAACAATAAAATTAGAAAGGAAAAAAGAAGGATAGGGAACAAAAAAAGAGAGAAAGGAAAGAAATATATATTTTACAGGTTGTTACCTGAATCAAAAAACATTCTGAATGAAAAATAAGTATAATAGTACATTGCTTAGCGAGGTCAAACAAACCGCCCGAGGCTGAAAGGCTGAAAGGCAGAAACATGATACACAAAATAATATTAATAATAAAAATGATAATAATAATAATAATAATAATGATAATAAAAAAAATTTTTTAAAAAACTAAGGTTTACAAAGACGACAAGCCCTGTTGCGAGCCCTGTTGTTCACCAGCAATATCGTTGCATACTTGTCCTTTAATAATATAATGACGATAATAATAACAGTATTAATGACAATAGAACAGAAAAAACGACAATTACAGCGCTAAAGCAATGCGCGCTCTCTTGTTCATCAAAAATAATGCTGCATGCACGAAGTATTACCTTGTGTTCCTCTGCTCCCTTCCTGTGGGTCACATCATTACTCTTGCCATCTTCTCCGTTCATTTCACCACCTTCCTCATTTCCCCTTCCGCTATTTACTACATAAGAGGTACTCGCCCTCTCAGTGACCTTCCTGGTCTGCCGTTTTGTTTTTGGAAGAGCGTCCTCGCTAGGTGTGGAGCTAATTACGCTCCGAGCCGCACTAGTTGTAGTTATGGTCGCATTACTCGTAGTATCAGCCGTAGTACGAGTTACGTTGCTCGCAACCCGTGTTTTAGTGTCTTCTTTACCATCACCCCTATCACCGAACCTTGGAGTCCTAGAGGGTTCAGTTTTTGAAACAAGTGAAGAAGGATTGTTTGCCTTCTTATCATTGTCTAGGAAAGGGGATTTCAGAAGCTTTGAGGTGCCTCCCACCGCTACTTTAGATGGCGCACTAACAGGCGCGCTCGGAAAACGCGTAGACGCGGACGGTCGCGACGTAGAACTGGTTGTTCGCGTATCAGGTTTGACCGGCTCTTCTTCCTCCTCCTCTTCAGAGGACTCTTCAGTTTCACTGCCGGTTTCTTCCTCTGAGTCGGACTCATCCGCTGGTTTTTTAAGCGAATTAACCGCAGAATTAGCTGGGAGAGAATTGACCGTCGGTCTGGTCCTGGAAGTAACCGAGTTCACAGCTGGCTTCCCACCCCTCCCCTCTTCCTCTGAATCCTCTTCACTGGACTCTTCAGAGCTGTCCTCCGTATCGGATTCGGAACCACTGTCATCTTTGTTGAAACCGTCTGATTTCTCCTTCTCGTTTTCCTTGTCCTCTTTGGGCGAGTCGTCGAAACTCGGCGGTCTGGAGGTGCGGCTCTTAGGGGAGGTGGACAACTGCTCCTTGCTAGCTTCCATCTGTGCCCTCTCCTGATTGATGTCCCTGAGAAAAAGGTTTTGGTCCTTTATTCTTGTTATGGAGCTCCTATGAAATGAAGAAGCCACAGAAGTTGCATGAATAGAAGTCTTGCAGGACTGGCACCACAAACACCACGCACTGGAATTGATCTCTCTGCTTCTCGAGGATCAATCTGTGCTTGGTGTCCAAGAAACCGATTCTTTCGGAACAATTACGACGGATACACTGCGTTTCATTTTCAATCAAATTCATGCATTGTCATTCCGAGTTTCAGGAATTTGAATAATTGTTTTATTTAGTGCCAGTCCGCAAAGAAAGGAAGTCAAGAACACCAAGAGAGACCCACATGCAAAGAGTTACGCATCAAGTAGATGAGATAAGTGAAAGACGCAGCAAAGAAGATGAGCCCAAAGAGCAGTTTCACGTACAACAGCAAGCTTACTCGGTCTAGAGAAAGAAGCAGTGCAGCTCAAGAGAGTGTTAGTACAGTGTTAGTATCAACTTTTACATACAGTAGTCCAGGGTTGTTAGCAGGGGGTAAATTACGCCGCAGTCTAGCTATAGATGTTTCAGATAGACTGAAAAAGAAGGAAAAATAAATTTTTAAAAAATTCAGTAACTATTACAGGGCTAAGGTCATGTTACACCCGTTAATTTTCAAATTCAAAACGAACGAGCGAGTTAGGTCGTTCTTCAGAAACAGCTTAACATTGTAACTGACCAGAGTTTTCTACAATGTACAGTAACTGTTGACAAAGGCTCACAATTGTACCTATCCGCTGAGAAATAGACAACCCTGATGTGGGGGGAGGGCAGGGGTGAGGAATACAACATTTGTTTCAAAACATCAATGTAATATTAGGGCTGTTTGCCGAGCAATCTCAGCTTACTACAAAGGAAGAAAGCCTTCTTGACAGAACAGGATTTAAGAACAGCTGGATAAGTGTTCGGCTTAAAGCTTGCTCTGCACCAGTAATCCAAAAAATCATTTGCAAGCAAAGATTAAGTTTTGCTGTGAATAGAGGTTATTTATCGTTACGTCCCTTGGCTGGAAGAAAGCACTAAAAACAGAACATGCATATATCAGGCAAAAGTTACTTGTAACCGCACTGCTCAAGGTTGGCACCAAAAAGGAATAATAAAAGAAAGTATCAAACAATTCACTGTCAACATGCAGTTACAGAGTAGATCACAACAAACAGTTAAAAAAGGTCTGTTTGTCACAAAGAAATTTTCAGTGATGATGAATGATACCTTAGTGGGAGCTCATTGATTGAAGAGATCAAAGGAGAAATTAGCTAAATGTGGTTATTACATGTTCTTCCTTGATTAGTGTATAGATTTAATAGCAAAAACACACTGGGTTCTATTTGTCATTCTGCGAAAATTGTCTAGTAAAAAAAATACATTGTCCGAAATAACATAAATATTAATAACAACCCCTATTCCATAAAATAGCTGAATAAGGTGAGCTAAACAATTTTAACACAAGACATGACATCTGCAAACACTAACACTAACCGTCTTTTTAAGGGAGCTGGTCCAGATTCCATATTGCTTTTAATGACTGGTGTTGTTGACTGTTGAAGGGAAACAGTAACACTTACTGTATGAGGAATGCTATGCCAACAAAAATAAGTCAGGAGATTGGATATACTCAAACCAAATCTATTGCTGTCTGACCTTTAACTCACCCTGTCTAGTCAATTCTTAATCATAAAACTTGACCTACACTGACAATTTCTTGGAGGTAATCAGAGCAACCACTCAATCACTCTTTAATTTGTTAAATGTTTCCTTACATGCTATACGCTTATCAAAGCACATCACAGCTTCCATAATGAGCACAAATACATAAACAAGTCACCCTACTTACCGCATTGATCTTTGGCTTATCCTTTTGCCTTTTCTTAAGCTCTTCCAGCATTTTAACCATGTCCGGTTCTGCCAGGTCGATAGGTGTTGAACCCTACGGATGCATCAGTAAGAGCTACAAAACTTTCAACTTGCTTGCCTACCCATCTTACATATGGACAGACAAAAAGACAGACTGATTTACTAACTGTCTGGACAACTCAAAGACTGCCTGACAGATTGACTCAATCCCAAACAGACAAGCATAGAGCCAGGCAGAGTTCATTGGCTGTCTGACTTGCTGAGTCTAAAAATGTTAACCATGCATATTACATGCTACACGATAGTGAAAACAGTAAGGAATGTGATTCAATTCTTACAGGTCAATTGAGTACTCACCAGTCACAAAAAGGTTAAAGACCAACGAGAAAACCTCAAAACCACAGAGTAACTGCCTTTTCTATTTGTAATTTAGTTTTCTGAGGTCTAATTGGCTTTTTCTTTGAAACCCTATAATAATTCCATACACATTTCACATGATCACGGTTTTCTGAATTTCAACGCAACATCATCTTTACAATTAAAAGATGGCAATCAAAGAGAAATGTATACTGATCATGCTTAATTAAGAGCAGACACTGAAGACTGTAAAAGGTGAGGATATTTTGGTATTGATTTAATGGTTACTAGAACACACGTATACATGTACATCTCTTGAACATCTTACCGCATTACTCCTAGCACTAAAGTTGGCTCCATGATCAGCGAGTACTTCGCATGCATCACTTTGCCCCCAGTGAACTGCTGCATGTAATGGCGTCCAGCCATCATTGTCCTTAGCATTAATGTCAACACCAAGTTGAAGTAAAAGACTGAGGAAAAACACAGATCATTCGTTATAGGACAGGCAAGAGTGAAAGGAAAACTAATTAATTAAAAGTACTGTGTACAAGCATGTCACTGACAGAATGTCATGAATTTGCTAATTAACATTATTATGTACCATGAAAGTGAATGGTGTGTTTTTAGTGTGGTTTTTGTACAATTCACCTCTACACAACTGCCTATTATACCTTTAGCAGCTTATGCAAAAAGTTATTGAAACTCCTGCCTAAGTGGCCAGCCAACCTACCTAATAACTTGTAAATAACCTTTCGATGCAGCAACATGTAATGCTGAAGCACCTAAAGAGAAAAACATTAGTCTTAGTATGCTTAAACTGCAACTTTTATGTACTACTTCAATACCGCTCAGATATATATTAATAAAATGCATAGATGTGCCCTGATCAACTCAGCAAAAAGGAATGCATTCCACAAAGGCAAAGACCCCAAACAACAGGCAAATGTTTTTTTATAACAGTTTATAAAACATACATGTAAAGGGCATATAAAAGAACTAGCTAATGCAAATTGATCAAAACCACAGATAGTCCTCTAATGGACAACAATAACTTCAAAAAGTCTTCAAATGACAAGGAAATCTTGACCATC